AAACAACTCATCAAACATATACCCTTAGTAGTTAAGGAATATGTCCAATTATCCCGATTCGACTAGTATCCTATTCCTACTACTCAGCAAAACCATTTTGTTACCCTCCAGATACCTTTTGATTTTCCTCGTCAATGGGTACAGCAAGGGTATACGCATCTTCACTTCGGTGCATCCGTCTTGCTCTATCCTTCCATGGTAGAAAAGGATTACCTGTTGTTGCTCGCATGGCCCTTCTGGATGCTCGTTTTTTGAATTACCAACATACTTGTATTGGTACAATCCAAACCACTCTTAATGTCGAAAAAGTGTTTGTTACGTTGTTTCCAAATTTCAACATGGCCCTTAGGGACCCAAGACTCCTTTTAGCTCTTAAAGTTCAGCTACAGCTCACAAGAGCTCCTCAAACTCCTGATTCTATAACTTCTACTTTACACTACCAAATGGTATATCGAGTCTAGAATCTTGCTATTGATCTTAATTTCCTTGACACTGAGGATGCTCTCTTTATCTCAATGGATAATGATCAAACTTTATGTATCCATGTACCTAGACAAATTCCTCGGGATCAAGTAATTAAGTTACTCCCAGATACTTGGGTAACTAATTATGAAAAGTTTCATTAGAATTTCAAGCTTATCCGGTCCATAGAATCCCAGTTTACAAAAAAGAAAGATGGTACATTTGTTATTAAATTTAGTAAGGAAAAGGAAGAAACATCTTCTTTTATTTTCCCTACTATTTTTATGATAAAACTCTGTCATGCTGATGTTCCTATTGAAAAAGGCGACTCGGGTCTGAAAACTATGATCGAGTCTTTTGATCAAGATGGATGATCTATTTATTTTTACAAGGATCCTCGAACAGGACACTGCTTCTGGGATCTTGATTGTCAATGTTCCGTGTGTACTAGCCTTCCAGACGATGATGAAGACGATAGACCATCCAAAAGGAAAAAGAAGCGGTCCAAAGATAGCCTCTATGAGGGATATCTTGATGGAGATCCTACCATAGGATCACTTGGAGAGGATGGAGGAAGATACCAATTTATGGTTTCATATGGACCACTTCGGCCACAAACTCCTCCTCTAGTTCTTGAACCTTGTGAACCTCCTTCACCACCACAGTCATCATCCAGAAAAACTCTACCACGTAAGTCAGTTGTTTCACCATTTTATAAACCCATCAATAAATGGGTTAAGAAAAATTCATATCATTTGTAATTACCCAAAATACCTCAGCTCTCATGTGTTTTAAAGCTGAAACCACCACCAGTACTCCTATCTGTCTGTTTGTTTCATCCCTCAGACTTTTCACCTTTGGAAAACCCCAACTTTAGTGCTCTTTTTCCAGCATTAAAAGAATTTACAGACGCTCATCATTGGTTCTGACACATGCCTAAAATCCCAAATCCCACGGATGTCGATGATCATGGGAGACAAAAAGAAAGTTACTACTGCCGAAGCTGTTCTAAATTGGCAATCAAAAAATGGTCTGGCACAAAATAATGTTCTCAAGATAATTGATACAAAACTTTCAACTGTCCAAGCATTTCTTGATCATGTCGATCAAAAAGTTGATCAAACGGCTTTGGTTACAAATAAATTGCTCGAGATGTTCCAAAATAAGATGCAGCAGATGGAATTAGGTAAATATATTTTTCATAATTATTTAGAAGACCAGACTGCTAAGATAGAAAAGTTACGTAGGCAAATAAACTCCTTCAAGAAGGAAAATTTGTTCCTACGCCAGATCCATTTTTTCAATCTTAGCATCCAACTCGGATGGAGATCTCTCCTCCAAAGTCACTTCGGTTGCTTCAATCATTGCAGAAACCCCAAAAGCAGAACGAAGTGATATCGTTACGCTTCGAAATTGTATCTGTGGGATAACAAAACAAAAAAAAGTGAAACAAGAAAAGAAACCAGATATTCCCGATCCTTTCCAGGAATCTCTTTCTTCCCACATGGTCTTAAATTCATTGGAAGCTTTTCTACGAGACCAATATCAACAAAGGTTGCCAATAATTGCTGCAATTCACTCTATCAAGCAAAATGATTCTTCCAGCTCTAAAACAGCCTCAGACTGAGTCTCTTTCTCTTCAAAAGAAATCTTACCTTCTAATCCTTAGACACCAAATTTCACCAAACTTACTATTCTTACGGTCGATTCTCTTGAGGCGGATAAGGAATTAAATTCATCTTAACCAGAAATAGTAAACATCCATGATCAAAACTCCCGTTCTGGATCTTCGACCTCCAAATACTATTTCACACATGATGTTATTCCATACACTAATTGGCCAGAAAGATTGCAAGAATTCCATGCTTCGCTCAGCACCAAAGCCCTTACTGTTAAAAACCAGTATGATATATTGACTGAGTTCGTCAACAAATTTACTCGCAACCTCAAAGATTGGTGGAAAACTGTTTTTGATTAAGATCAGATGAACTTCAAACATATTTTCATTATGTGATCTACGTTATTCACCAGTTCTTCATTGACAAACCAGAAAACCTTCTTGAACTAAAAAGGAGAGAGTTTTTTTTTATAGAATATGCTACTCCTTACGTCGAAACATCTGAATAAGCATTTCCATGAGATGCTTAAATCATTTTATGCCCTTGAGCTAATCCAAACCTGAAGCAAGTATTTATGTCCTCTATTCCAAAGGAAATTGGTCAAGTTGTATAAAGATCTCTCCAGAATAAGCAACGAAGGATTGCTGATGTCCCGATTGGAGAGCTGCAGCAAGAGATACATTTGGCTCTTGATGACCTCTGTATTCGCCTAAAAGCATTCGGAAGTTATCTTAAGAGCAATAAAGAGCTTAATAGAGCTTATTGAAGGCTCGAGCTAAGAATCAAGCGTCCGAAGAAAGAATCCTGTGATGACCCTTTTTGCGAAGATCGATGTAAAAAGAAGAAGCACTTTAAACGATTCTCCCTTGGCTTAGGAAGAAAACGTAAATGGAGATTCTTAAGAAGAAGACGTTCCAAACTCGACCAGTCTGGAAGATGTAAAAAATATGACATATGTTACGTCGGTATATTTTTCCCTCAAATTTTGGTAATACTATCTTGGGTGCACCGGTGTGAGATTCTTTATGACATAAAAATTAATTTGAAATAAATGTGACACAAGTATATTAGTTTAGAATTCTTTATGGTATTAACTTTTTGTAGAAACTCCCCTGGCGATCCCAGAAGGGTATTCTCTCTTTGTATCCAACTTTAATGATTTCAAAGATAAGCCTCGTCCGAAAAGAAATGTGGAATTGCCAATGAGCTAACAAATATGATGTCAAACTTTTTAAGCCCATACTCCTTATTAAGTAGGCTTTGCACAATGTGTTGGGAGGCTAAGGCCCGTGCTAGCCCCCATGGATCCGTCCTTAACAAAAAACAAATAGAGGTTAGAGGTTAGAATAAGGTCGAGCAAGGTAGAGTCTCCATGTTCAGATCGTCAGACTTTAGAGTCCAATGTACAAAAATCCTAATTTTATTCATGGGATAGAAAGCAAAGTCGTACATGTTAATTTATTTGTCCGCGCCTAATTTTAGTAATTTGAATTTTACAGAGTTCTTGAACTTTCGAGGCATATTAGAATCCGTTTACTTTTGATTCGAAATTGAATAAGATAATTTAACCGACCACCAATCATCCTCAATTATACTTTAATAATTGAAACTATGGAGCTTCTGGCGACCACAACCTTGAAAAAACCCATGTAACAGCCACATTGTAGGGAAACTGGCTTTGTATGCAGCTCTTATTATCATGCATGTTTTTCGAATTTGTCTCTAAAGAGTCTCTTCTTCATTTTGTTCAATACCCAACTCCGATAGCTCTTCTTCTTCTTCTTTTTCTTTTTGGTGAGAGAACCTTTCTTTCTTAACTAGCACCTTGTAGCCTCCTTTAGTTTTCCTATATCTTCTTTTTCTATTTTCTGGGAGAAAAATAATATTGTATAAATCCTTCTGTTCATATTTATAGAGATCACTCTTCATTTTTTTAAGGTCATCAGTTCTTTCTTTTTGTCAAGTCTTCTCCATTTTCAAGGGAAATGAAAAATTATATGTTCTGGGAAATCTTCTTCTAGTTCAATGCTATCAAGTAAAAACTTGAGCTGAAGGCCCAACAATGAAGGGTTTTTCCAATCCAGAGAGAACTAGGTGGAAAACTATGACTGGATCTACTCGATGTATGTGAGCCTAGAGCATCCCAATTCTTAAATTATGTTGGTCTAATGTGGGACTCACCAAAATCAAAAGTTTGAATTTATTGAGCTCACATGCACTCGGAACATCTCAGAATTTTTCGGTGTCACAGGATCTCGGGTGTACACAATGGGGAGTAAGATTGGTGAACTCCATTCCTTTGAATTTAGTACTTTTTGTCAGAAGAAGTTCATTTCGCAACGTGGGTAAGGTAAAGTAAACAGAGTGTGTGGGCTGAGTAATCTCCAACATTGAAGAGGCCGGTCGAACTTAGCACGTGCTGAAAAGCTCTTCCATTCAAGATGGGCCAGAAAATGGCCAATGAATGGTTGCGTCGAGACGATCTTTCACCTTACTACACACTTTATAGAGAGGTGGTGGACTGGTGGGTTTCATTTTCTAAGGCTTAACAAGAGCTTAGCCATATAGATATACAAAGTATAGCGAGGAAAGTCATTAAAGACGCAAAAAAAGGCGTTGGAGATTAGGAAGAGATGTATGAAAGTATAGGGCTTGTCACTTTAACGTGCCTAAGCTAAGATATGAATTTTTACATGTACCATTCTGTCGTACAAAGACTTCGTCTCAAATCTGAAGAGAAAACTCAGCCACTCGCCACAAACCATCGAATAATGTCCCTCATTAGACAACATGAGCATATCTCGCCGGTCGGTTGTACGCCCATCTTATTAGCATCTATGAGCCTCCTCGCCTGTCTCGTCCCCGTCCTTGCCTCCGGCGGCTCCTCCCCGACTCTATCTCCACCTCATTATGAGATTAAGACTACAAAAACAAAAAAAGAATTCAAATAAATGTTTTCCTTTTGTTTATTTATTGGGTAAAAAGAATGACTGTATTACCTAACAATTCCCGACATAATTTGCCCACCTCAAAAGAGCAGTGTGCACCGTGCAGGGTCTCTTCACCTCTGAACCATTCCCACCTCCACCACCACCACCACCACAACAACGCACTCCACAGAAAGAGCCATCGCCCCCAACGATGGCCGGTGTCCTGCACATGCCTCAGCCACCACTCTTGAGGCCGCTCTCCCGCCACCGCAGAGCGGTCAAGCCCCCGACTTCTGTTAGCGTCAGGGCGTCGAGCACCGACTCCCCTGAAGCTTCCACGGCCACCAAGCCGCCGAGTTCGTCGGCGACTTTCGCCCCTCCTCCCAATTTCAAGCCTCCCGAGCCGAAGCGCTTCGGCGTGAGGCCGGACAAGGTTCTCGACGTCTTGGGTGCGTCTCTCACCCTGATCTTCCGATTGGGTACCGGCGTTTTCGTTTCCGGGTATTGGTTTTTCTCTGTTTGCTTACTTTTTCGTTGAGTTTGCCTAAAGTTTCGGTTTTCGAGGCATGAGTTGGTGCCTTTTGCTGGCTGGGTTGTTGAATTTGGATTTCCATAGTGTAAAATCGAAATGGGTCGTGTCCTTTCTGCTGTTATTTGTGGATTTTTGGTATACTAGACCTGCTTTTGGCAACGTTGTGGGGCTTGACGAATCGTTGTTAATCCCATCTGCAACATACGTTCCGCTATTCTACTATTTAACCTTCGAACTGTTTGTCTGATCTTTAAAATGGACTGTTCAAACAACCAGAAACCTAACAGTAGACGCTGCGTGAGTTTTGGATATTGTAGTGAAAAACTCATTGAACTACATCGGAGTAAGTCTCTAAAAGGCAAGAATGAACTTGTCCCTATTGAAGTTTGGAAATAGCTTATTGATTCTTTGGACTATAAATTTATTGCATGTTTTTGAGTTTTCTATTGTTTATACTCGTCTGTGGCATCTCATTCCTGCAACATGTCATTTCTCTACTCAAGATGATGTGAATGCCATCCAAATAATTTCCCCTGCAAATAGATGCCTAAATTCGATATGCATCTCACGTAGTCCATCGAAATCCATTTCGAATGGCATTCTTGAGAGATTGTAAATAAACAGGTGTATGACCCAAAGTTCTCGCCAGTAACTGCAACTAAATGACAAAATCCATTCAAGCAAAGCAGTTAACATCGTTAAGCACCAACCACAAATTTTTTCCCTCATACCTTCAAACTTTGCATTATAGCTTTGTGACAAAAGATGAATCAGAGACCTTGTGGTGCACAAAAGGTGCAAAAAACTGAACCCAAGTATGCAATGAAGTTGGAGTTCATACTGAAGACAGTTTTATTTAATGTCAGGTGTTTTAATTTTCTTTTTTACTTTTTTAATTTGCTTACTAATACCTATACCGGATTTTCTTCCTATTGGAAATATGAAGTGAAAATGTTTGGCTGATATCAGGATGGTTTTTTCTGCTCTAATGTGTTCAGTAACACCGATAACAAATGCTTCTTCGGCCTTTGAAAAGAGAAAGAATAGAGGTGCCCAAATGAAGTTATCAGGAATTGGAGAGTTCTTCATGAGAGGAATAAAAGGAAGAAATCCAACAAAATTACTGTACTTGAACTAGGACAAAAATGTTGATAGTAATTTTTTCTCATCAAATTCTCTTTCTTAAAATGCACCTGGACAGTCGGATATTGGGTAATTTTGGGACTCTTTCTTCTGTATTTAAAATCGTTGGAAAAAAGAATGAATACTATTTTCTTTGAGAAATGCCACTTCAAGGAGTTTAATCGAGATACCTAAATGAGACATTTGTTCTTTACTGAATTATTGAAATTACTGGATCAGAATAAGACATCTGTTTCTTCACCCTTTCACAATAAATGAGAATTCACCTGGGGAGTACAGAATACTTGAGATTGCAATTTTAGGGGAATATGATTCAGTTATGGCCCTATTAGTCGAAAGTCCTGTCTTCTTTTATTTTACAAAAAACATCAGAACTAAATAAATATGATTATAAAGTCGGTGACTTGATATATATCTTCATCGGTAAAAAGGATGCGATGAATGTAGTAATCGCTAAAGCATACGGCATTTAGATCTGAACCTCATTGATGTTTGTTTTGACTGATAAACTTGAGGTGAAAGGTCCTTGCATCTAACAGAGTTTATGGTAATGGGCTTGTATCTTGCATCCTCAGTTATTTTTCTTAATAGGTTTGTCAGAATGCAGCAGGTCATTTGAATCTGAACCGTGTAACACTTGTCATTTTATTACAGGTATTCTGCATCCTTTGCTTCCGAAAATGAGATTCCACCTAGCCAGTACGCTTTAGATATTGCTGGTAGGCTGTGGCAACTTTTTCATTTAAGAGTAACTTCAGTTGCAAGGTTGTTATCTAGCCGCTTTTGGTCAATGTGTGTGAAAGTAAAATGCAGAAAAACCAAGTACAAGTGTTACTGGTTCATCAAGCTACTACTTTAACACGCTTACTTTCTGATATGCATATCTTTGTAATGTTCTATTTTAATAGGTGTGAAAATTAAGGAGACTTCAAAATTAGGTCCTCGACCAGAGAAGCCTATTGAAATTTACGAGTTTGAGAGGTACTCATGTTGGTATTTATCATTTTACTCGTTGCTAGATTAGATGGATGATGGATGTCATTGTACTCATCAGATCTTGTCCCGCTTTGTGGGATGTCATGATCTTTTTCTCTTGGTATGATCTGCTTATACCAATTTTCACTTGGTGCTTCAATAGACACATTCTAACAATGTCTTTTTGTTCCCTTTTCTCCCTTCCCTCCCTCTCTTCTCATTCACCTGGGGAATGGGTATGTATGGATATTGTGGATCACCAGCTGTCCTTTTTGTCGAAAGGTAAAATCTAGTCAACAATCTCCTCTTTTATTTTTTAATGTATCTACATCTGTCCTTTTGAGAAATACGCCCTTCCTTGAATGATTGATGGAGCTAACAGCCAACTGGAAGCTGCCCTTGATAGGATACCTCCCCCATTGATTTTGTGGTACTGAACTGTGCCATCTGGGAAGAAATTACACCATCTTTTTTAAAGGGAGATAAATTAGTTGTGATTTTCATCTTGATTATTAATTGCTGAAATTTGGTAATGTTGTCATAAATCCTCTAATTAGACAAGCGAAAACAATTGGTAAAATTTGCAGCTTAATGTGACTCTGCTTTCACTATTAATAAGGATTTGAGTACTGTTTTGCTTTTTTTTTTAAAATACATTGATTGTTCTGTTCCTTGATGTACGTCTTAAGTCTCGAATTCTGGATGCGGTATTCAATTGACACTTCCAATCATCCACAGGTTAGGGAAATTGTTGCAGTATTGGATCTTGATGTTATATTCTATCCATGCCCACGAAACGGTCCAAATTTCCGTCCCAAGGTGGTTCAGATGGGTGGGAAACAACAATTCCCATATATGGTATTGTACTCTTCTTCTCAAGGTTACTTTTCATCCTGGTGTCAAGTAAGAAAAGGATTTAATTCTTACTTGAATGGATAAGCTGATACTCATTACTATGAATTTTTTATGCTGAAGCATTACATGTAAGATTTTAGAATAAAGGAGCACATTTTGAGAAAGTATGAGAAAGCTGATGAACTAAATAGTTAATGGTGCTTTGTTGCTTAAATTTAAAGCAGCATGATGCGGTAATTTGCCCTCAGTTTCCGGACTCTGTATCCAACAAATGACAAAGCATAATCTTTTTCTGAAACACTTGGATTACTCTTATGATCACTTCCCAACCAAATTCCATCCATTTCCAGTGGAATACTGGTTTTTCATTATGTTCATTTATTAGCATCTATCTCACATTGCAGCTAATAACGAGGGTTAAGTGGCGTATAAAGGATCCTGGAAGTCAATTAGTATTTCCTTTTTCCTCTTTGCAGGTAGATCCAAACTCTGGGGTTGCAATGTATGAATCGGATGACATAATCAAGTATTTGGTAACAAAATATGGTGTGTGCTAGCATAATTTCCTCTTCTGAGTAGGGTTTTCCTCTCCTGTTCTGTTGTTCACGTATGTAGTTGTTGAATAGTGTAAATGTTGAAGTTCGATATTATTGCATGCTTAAGCAGGAGCATATTCTCGTGCAAAAGTTCAAGAGATCATATGACGCCCCTGTTGGATAATGCTTTTTCAATATTCTTGTTTTTGAGGATGTATGTTAACCTTTATTATGAAGGGCCAGAAACTGAGGAGAGAAAAATTAACTAAGAAGTGTGAATGCATGAACAGGTTGCAAAGTTGCCTGATCACTTTTTGCATCTTGTCTACTTTTTCCTTAGGTCCAGATGTTGATGTTATTCTCCTGAAGACTAAGTACACTTCGCCAGTATCAAACAAGTTATTACTTCATATTAGAGTCTCATATTGCCCACGGTTGCCCAACCCCAGATTCCTTCCAAGCACATCTAACTTTCCAATCTCTTGCCAGCCCTTGACTATGTTTTTTACCTCTCTCTTTATTTCCATTCGACCATGCCCATTGTTAGCTAGAGTAGTACTAACTTGTAGCACTTGATTGAGTCTCTTTCAACTATCCCTTTTTCATATCTCACTACCATCTATTCATCTAGACCAATTTTATCACAAAAAGTATTAAAGCAACCCGGTCAAAAGGCTCCCAAAATGCAGGGGTATACACAACTTGTTGATCTTGACTGTTCTTGGGTTCATATTACCTGTACTTTAGTTTGTAGGTCTTTCATTAACTTCATAATTATTTAACTTACCCATCATCGCTGTTTGTCTGGTGATCCCAGAATCTTAAATTTTGACGAATGCTTGACTTTGGTTTGAAGCCACCTTTCTATGAGAAACGTAAAATTGATAATTTGTTAGAATAATAATCTGATCTATCCGACATCTAACCTTCTCTGTTAGTTCCAATTTTTATCCATCAAGCTTGCTCTTCGGTAGCATCGACTCACTTTCCATCAACTGTTCTTGGTCTATCCTCTTCATAAATAGCTAATTCGTTCTACCAATTTTTTCACTTATTATGATTTTTAAACTTGAGGTAGTGGACTATTCTTCTTATTATCTCTCATTCTTTACTGAAGTATTAACCCAAAAAATTTACTTTATTTTTCCATTGATGTAGGTGATGGGAATGTTCCTGTTTTGTTATCTCTAGGTCTTCTCACGGTTGACCTACTACTCTTAGTGGCTATTCTTGTGAATTTCCTGGATTCTTTTACAATTGTGTGATCTCATTTCCTCCATATCGTCTACATTGCAGACCCTGACTGAAGGCTTTGCAATGATTGGTCGCATGGGAAAGGTGGCGATGCTAAATCTTGTAGCTGTTCATTACATCTATTGTACTTGTAATTGGCTCATCCCTCGTTTTTGTGCAGGGTTCATCTTACATACCAGCAAAACTACCACCAACGCCACTTGAGATATGGGCATATGAGGTTGGTATAGTTAAGTTGTCTTTTAATTTTTGAATAACAATGTAACATGGCTCTTGCTGATTATAGTTTGTTTGGAGTCATGGGGCATTGTTTGTGCTTTTCAATTCCCATATCTTCATTTGCTTTCTGTTTCTGCAGTATATTGACTTTGCCCTAATTAGATTCTGGCCTAAACCTGTACTTCACATGAGAACAAATAGCTTTAAGTGATGGGAAGGAGATAAGAGCTTTACACAGAAATTTCAACCAGCATCAAGGAATTTTCTCAAAGTGTAGATTATTGGACTATTAAGATCAAAGGGATTTCACTAGGCCCACAGTAGAATGAGCTATTGCTTTACCAAGAAGAAGCATCTATTTAGGACCTCACCATGGGGCAAAGGGCGGAAAATCAAGTGCATCAATTCATCTTAATTCCATATCGATACATCTTGAGTAGTCTCCGACCCATTCGTTATATGTGGCTAATTCTTTAACTGTTTCAGTTGCGATTACTTCTTGCTCCTAAAAATTGACTATCTGCTGAAGTATGTTGCTGCATTCAAAATTTTGTGTCATGTATCATAGAGCTATGCTTTCTGCCACGGAGTTGGCCAAGTACTTGAGAGATTAGCAAAAGCTCCAACTAAAGAGAGATTGAATTGCATCTTGCCACAAGTTGAGTTCTATAATATTGGTTTTGAAATATTTACCCTCATTTCAGGGGTCTCCATTTTGCAAGCTTGTACGTGAAGTACTAGTGGAGTTAGAATTACCTCACCTAGTTCGCAGGTAATGGCTAAGTATTACTGTAGGAATACATGCACTTCATTTACTTTATCTATAATTCCGCACGTTCGAAGCCTTTTTTTGTCCTACAAAAGATGACTATTGTTCTGCAGTAACATCTAAAAAAGCACCTTAGATGTGAAGGTTTTTGTGGTATTAAAAAGACAGTAATTCAGTTTTGATATCAGCCATTAGTGTTCTACCTAAATGCAAGTGCTGGAATGACAAAAGTGTTTAGTGTGCTCTCCATGTTTACTGGTGCTCATTGGATTAACTTATCAAATGCTTAAATCATTGATGTTTCCTGTGAAATTCACTTGTACATGGTCTGGTTAATTGTGAGTTACTAATTAGTGCTAATTCTTTAAACAACTGGCAAATTTCATTTCATCCGCAACTTGAATACTTGCAGTTCAAAATTTCTTTGGCCACGTATCTCTTTATAAGCATTATTACGTTGTTCATCCTGCAATTGTACTTGAGTGAGCCCTAATTGGCATCTTATACTTCTGAAGTCTACTACTGGTTCATTCTGTTTACGCGCAATGTCTACTGGAATATGCTGCCATAATAAAACCTTTTTTCATTAAGTAATCTTGCATTTTATGCTTCAGTTGTGCCCGTGGCAGCCCAAAACGGCAAGTCCTCTATGAGAAAGCTGGGCATTTTCAGGTAATTAACCAGTGTTTGTTATCTCATTTGTCCATGAAGAATCCAAATTTGCCGAACGTCGAATACTAAGAGAATTCCACATCTGCATAATGGTTGACAGGTACCTTATTTAGAAGACCCAAATACAGGGGTGCAAATGTTTGAAAGTGCAGAGATTGTGGAGTATCTTAGAGCTACTTATGCCCTTTAATAAGTGGAGCTATTATTACAAGTCTACATACACATTGAGTCTTCCTTTTCTCTTCTAGTAATAGCCACATACATATTTTGCAATTTTAGATTGAAATTCCTGAAACTGATGCTTGATGTAAGAAGCAGAAACCTGCTTCTGTTATGTTGTTACATATATAAGCAGCAATATTTACTGCCCTAGTTATTGTAACTTGCTTCGTGCTTTTCCTTGTGATCTTGGACGAATGTTGGATCGCAAGGCTGTCTTTATAGTATTTCAATTCGAATCCTGGTGAGGGGATAGTACTGTGGAATGTTGTCTATTTAGTGCTAACTAAAACAAGAGATGCTCGACTTTTTTTCTGGGCAGAGAGGAATAACTCTTTACTTGGTATGAGAATGGCGGATGGATATGCTTATTAGTTGAAAATGACGCTTGGAGAAATCATTAAAGACGGCCAAGTTAAATGCGGAGAGCCAACCCTTGACAATGTGGATCTTGCTCCAGTAGAGAAGTGATGACGAGTTCCAACAGTGTTGATCCAAACGGAATCAATCTCTTTATTTTTGAAGCAGACTGTAAGTGAAATAGGAACCTGGTATGCTTTTCTCCCAAAGCAATGACTAGGATGGTGAAAGAAAAAAGGTGTGAAGACCACCACTTAAAAAAGAGGGGAAAGAAAGTGGTGTGAAGACCACCACTAGAAAAGGAGACATCTCTTTAATGGCTTGCCGATAAGTGGGCACACTGGCAGTGTCCCCTACGTGCACAAAAGATGGAATCTGCCGAGGCATACTCCGATGGTCGGTTCATCATGAACAATATACAGGATTAGTGGTGTTGAGAACGAATCACTGTACAAAACCTAGGTTGTATCTGTGCAGTTACTAGGTCTTACAAGAAAAAGCATGTCGGGCCAACATAAGTCGCGTGTAATTTCTCTGCACCGTGACCAGATAAGTCCGTCCAATACATCGGTCATAAACGAAGAGTACATGAGAACTTTCATGATGTACTTTCTTGCTGCTCTAATTTCTTCCAATACATCGGTCATAAACAAAGAGCACACGAAAATTTTCATGATCTACTTGCTTGCTGCTCTCATTTCTTGAACCCTCCATGGCTTTCCTTTGAGCACAGACCATGAATTGGAGTGAACTAGCAAGGAAAATGTGACTTGACATGGAGAGTGGGAAATGGTGGGGACATGAAAGTAAATTGCAAAGTTGACCGAGCTTCCTCTATCTCAGGGAATCTTCTTATCCTCTGTTTCTGAAGCTCAGAAGAAAAGAGCTGTCCCAGAGTTTTGTGCGTGCTTTTGGCCCAATTTTTGTGGCACTTGGGGCGTGACATCTTCATCAGATGGCCACCTTGTGAGATCTGCACCCACCATAGTGAAAAGCAGGATCTCTTTTTCAGTGCACTTATTCTTCTTCCTCTTGGTGGGATGATGAGGCACTTGATGCCTTCCCTTTCTTTATGGCATTTTCATGAGTCAAAACAAATTCTCCTTTGGTACATTCTGAGGTCGTGCAAGTCGGTGTCTGCTTTGTGTTCCAATCCTAATGTGTTCCCACCCCAATCTTATCGCTTTGGAGAGTTCTGGAAAATTATTTATTTTTTAAACTTGTCTTAGGTTGTGAATAAACAAATGAGGGATAAAGTATGAGATTTTCATTCAACGTAACCTCGGGGGACACATTACCAACCTATGGATAGAGATTTAATCGAAGAACATGACATGATAATTTGAAAGTATTGTGGAGATTTGTTAAGTCGAAAGGTTTGGATTTCTTGTACTGTCAATACTCATAAACACTACAGCAAGTTTCGAGTAGGTTGCAGACGCATGACTACTCCAATGAGTCGGATTTGCAGAGTAAATGGAATTTCTAGGGACAAGTAAGGATGGGATCCTAGTTCCGTTTCTCTACCTTCCGTTGATATCTTAACATGATATTGGCGCTAGGATTCATGAATATTCTGGTTAATGCATCGAACAATGCTCGCGTGACGTTTGATTCGTGAAATGGAACAAGGCCGGAATGGAATAGCTATTTCCTGAGAATAGATTACTGCTAAAATAGGAATGGAATAACTGTTCTCTAGTTTGGTTTGTAAAATGGAATCGTAATTTCAAGAATATTTCCTCTCTTTTTTCCCACCATACCCTTTGATGAGATAAAAGTAGAACTTATATAGATTAATTGTTTCATCAAGAACAGATTGGAAGTCCGATTGAAGACTGTCTTTTTCATTTTTTTAAAAAAATCTTACAATAAAGTCATGTGTTAATTAGGAGGGAGGTGGTATATTTGCCACCACTTTTTTTTTTTTTTACCTCCCAATATCTGGAATTGTCTCTTTTTATGTCTCTGCCTGTGCGTGATCTTTACTAAATCAATTGGTCATGACTAAGGTTGTTGGGTATCAATTCCTTTAGGTTTATTTTCATTCACAAAAGTGGTAGGAAAGAATAATGTTATCTACAGTGAAGCTAATTTACTAAATTAGCATAGTAAATGATGTGATAGACGTTTTATGGGAAAAGTACCAAATATTGTAAAATTTGTCCGCGCCAGCGCCGGTTGTGCCACGTTAAACGATCGGTATCTATATCAACGATTTCCGGCCCAAATTGGCCAGATGGACTATATTGGCAAATTTTCGAAAGGTTTAGGTCGCAATTGGTACAATGGAGATAAGCATCATGAAGCAAAATCGCTCTACATTGACATCACAATTATTGTGCGTGATAGAACTAAATGACAAAATAATTACATTATCAACTTAGGCAATCCAAATGTACCCAGAAATAATAAACCTTAAAATTAATGTTTTTTTTTAGAAATAAACCTCTCTTTTTTCATTACTTTTATATTAGTTGAAGCTTAAAAATATTTCGAGTGAGTTTATGAAATGGACTTCTTTCCATTATCACTTGGATATATTAAGTTCCATAGAGGGCAAGATTTTTCTTCAAAGAAATAGTGGGGTCAAAATATATATAAACTGGATCGAATTTATAACTTTAACTATTTATAAGTAAAAATTGAAAAGTGTATCGAATTGAGTGGGGGAATTGCTCCCACCCCTTATCGGATGGCCCCGTCGCGGGTTGAACATAGACTTAGGGTGCGTTTGTTTCACGGAAAATGTAACGTTTTTGGAAAATGTTTCCGGAAAATCATTTTCCAGGAAAACAGTTAGTTTTCCTTTGTTTGGTGATATGTGATCGAAAACATTTTATGGTGTTTGGATCTCATTTGAAAAATGATTTCAATCCCATGATTTTATCTCATGCAAAAAAAAAATCGAATTTTTAAATATTTTTATTTTTAAAAATGAAAAAGAAAAAGAAAAAAAGAAGAAAAGAAAGAAAAGAATAAAATATTAAAAAAGTAAAGGGAAGCAATTCCGAAAAGTATTTTCACCTTCTTAGATTAGGGAATTCACTTTCCTAATTTTATACATGAATGTTTTCCTTGACCGGAAAGTGTTTTCGGTTGACTAATCATTTACGACGAACCAAACGGGTGAAAGTCCGAAAAACGGATTTCCGGAAAACCCTTTTCCCGAAACAAATGCACCCTTAATTATTTAAAAGGTGCGTTAACAAATACAACACGTTACTCAGTATACCATTTTAGTAAATCATGATTAATATATGCACAAAATTTTAATAAGGGCCATTAAAATAATAATAATCACTGGATAGTGATCGGTTGTCCACATATATAAGTTCGGTCACATGAAACAACTCAATGCTCAAACTCGCCTGCAATGGTGGAGTTTCATGGCCAGACAGAGAGCAACAAAAGTTGGCCAATGATAATCTGCCTATCCTCCACTTCAGTTTAGATTATTACACTCCAACCAGAGATCCTACCACTTTCTTGGCGATGACAATATTTTATACACGCTTAGTGACCGAATATTAAGGATGAACGGTTCCAGATTCCGTACAAGTTCCATATGGAATCTACCCGTTGAAACAGTTCCTCATTTTTTAGAACCTGAAACCTACCTTGCATACATTGGACCTGAAACCTATCATGTAATAGGTTCCAGAGTCGATTCCGAGGTTTACTCAGGTTCCACCTGTATTATTAATTGAACGATTGTAGTGAATCATAACATTTAATAATCACCATTTGTTACTACAATAACTGACTACAACTTATATTTAGACACACGAATAATATGAAGCATTAATAAAGTAAAAGTCTTAGTCATAAAATGAAAGATCAGACTAGTGGTTCTGGGTTATACACTCATTATCAAATGCCGTGGAATACCGTAGGATTGCACGAAGACAGAGACCCAGTAAAACGCAAAAACTTGTTTCAGATTCCAAGTTCCACTTACCTGGAACCTGAAACATATCCGTCGAAACAGGTTTCCCAATTTTTGGAACCTATAACCTATTCTGCATACCCTAGAACCATGAACCGACAGGTTCCCATTGGTCCGTTTATCAAGTTCCAGGTTTTACCTTAGAACCATGCTTACCCCTACTGAATATAAATACTTAATTAAAAAAAGAGAGAAGCTACCGACACTATTAAAACGATATATCTTTACCGTATATAGTCAATTTTGAATTTGGGGTCCACCCCTGACATATCCAATATACCCCGGACGTATAATACTCTCTGAAGGAGAGAGGGTGGGATAAATTGTAATCCAACATGCCATTAACGATAAAAATATAAATTATTCAGATTCTTTTATATAGAGTGAATGCGGCCGGCACTTAGTTCTAATATGCTTAGTTCAAAAGCTTAAGTTATTAGCAGGTGATAAGAACATGTACACAAGACCTAATGAAATATCATTTGTGCTTAATGCGTGAGAATCTTAATAAACTACCTTTTCTCACACGCATGTAAGGTAAAAGAGAATTTACCAAATGCTTTTTTCACGTAGGAGGAGATACCATGCGTGCTTTTGGTTTTATACTCGTCTTCACACAATGGACAAAAAAGATAAATTGATCCTAATAGCAAAAAGAGTTAATACCACAAAAGACCCCAAACCGATACACCTGTAACAAATTTACCCCAAATTAATTTTTTTAACACAAAAAACCTAAAACTGGTACATATGTGACAAATTAACCCCGAATTAATTTTTTTGACCATCAAAAACCCAAAACCGGTACACTTGTGACAAATTTACCCCGAACTAATTTTTTTTACCACCAAAAACCCCAAACCGGTAAATTGGATTGATACCACGAAAAATCATAATTTGGTAAATTTGTGACAAACAGAGGAATAAAACTCTAAACTGGTATATCTGTTAACTGCTACATGTCATTTAACTCAGCAATTTGATGGCAAAATTTAACGGAAACTAACGAAGGGTAAATTTGTCACAGGTGTACCAGTTTGGGGTTTTTGGTAGTCAAAAAATTAGTTTGGGATAAATTTGTCACAGCCGTATCAGTTTGGGGTTTTTTACGGTAGTAATCATAGTAAAAATAATAATAGTAAAATCTCATTTATTTATTGTCTTATGAATTGAAGATTTGAAATCGATGCTTAAAATATGATTTAAAGTCTCATGAAGAAACGGGGACCCGTAATAAAAGGAATTGTAGTTACAATTTTAAATTTGGAAAAGAAGGTGAAGGGGAAAAGTAAAAATAAATGAAATTAATGGCTGGCAATTAATTCGTGGCATCATAGCAAATATTAGCTTAGGCAGCGGCCCACCTTCTGGGAGAATGTAACAAATCCAATTTTTTGCAATGAAGAGAAGGGCATTCCTAACTATCTAGAAGTGGGCCAATAATGCAAACATACGTCTTTCTAGAAGCCGCAAAGCACCCTAATTTTAGTTTCTTATTACCGGGTCATGATTTAGATAGGATAATGCGACGAAAAATCGAATTAGTGGTCATGGAAAGGACCGGAAATACTTTCTATGCAGACTCGGGAGAGTCTCTAAGTCCTCGGTATCTTATAACGATTTGATGAAAAATCGGTTCCGTAAATTTTACCTGAAAAAAGAAATTCCATCTTTCGATAATAAACCCTAGTCAAGAATGGAATAGGCATCCTCCGATTGTTTCACCGGGAGATAATCCTTGGGTAATAAGAATTCGAACAAATGGGATATAAAAGTATGTGATAGATATCGATCTATCTTGACATTCTCATTTTCATAATTCTATACATTTTATTTCATTAGGCATAAAGACAAGAAAAGAAACAATATTTTATTTTATTCAAATTTAAATTAGGGTCAATAAATATATAGCAAAATTTCGGGAAAATTGTCCAAAAACTCCTAAACATATTGTACATTTGTCAATTGAGTCCTAAATATTTTCATGTTTTGCCAATTGAGTCCATCCGGTCAATTTTAGCTGAAAATTACTGACATGGATGCCGGTCATCCTTTGTGGCACGGTCAGTGCTGACGTCGACAATTTTAATAATATTTTAATATATTTTTCAAATTTTTAATTTTTTCTTTCTTTCTTTTTCTTTTTCTTCTTCGAAGTTTAGCGAGGCCCGACCGACCCTTGCTGGCCACTGGGCAAGGGCCGGCCAACCCTCTCCAGTCGCGGGCAAGGGTTGCAACCCTCGCCTAGATCCAGCAAGTGTCGCAAAGCCCTCGATGGTCGCGAGTAAGGGTCGCGGCTCTCACCCACAGCCGTCCACGTCAGCGATTTCCGATTAAAATTGGCCAAATTGACTCAATTGGCAGAACGTGAATAGGTTTACAACTCAGTTGATAAAATTAAAAAGTTTACAACTGAATTAACAAGACTGTAATAGATTCAAGATATCTTAGACAATTTTTCCTCGAAGTTTCTTCTGACAGGATACAGCCAAACAAGAAAGAAACAATCAAGAAACAGAATAGTGGTGAGCACAAAACGGGTATAAAGAGACAAAAGAGACGGTAAGAAGAAAGGGGAGGTGCTCCAAGACTCTCGAGGACAAACCCGCCCAATTATAGCAGGCTCCCCTCTCCTCTTCCTTTCTCGAATCCGCCATTTGTGGGGGTTGTCAAACCATTTGTCCTTAACCACCTCTCTCTCTCTCTCCCAAGAACGGAAAGTCCCGAAGCCTCTCTAAAAAGCGGGCACCAGCCTCATCTCCTCCCTAATCCTCATCAGAAAGATACATTTCCAGCTTGTTTCGTGAGCTTTCGGAATCGCCATCGACCATGCCCGCTCCCCCGGCCTCCTTCCCCGCCCTCGCGGCCCTCCTCGCATTGCTCCTCGCCTCCGCTTCAGGGACCGACGTACATGGTACGCATCTCTCTCTCTCTCTCTCGCGATCTCTCGAAAGGAGGTTTCGGACAAATCTTTCATGGGTCGAATGCATGTTTCCGGGCTTTTATGTTGTTTCTAGGAGGAGTGTTATTCACGTCCGCATTTTCCTTCTGATGCTCCAATTCATTAAAGATTTGCAGCGTTGACAGCTAATTGAAAAATCAAGTTGAACATCTCATTTGGCATGAAACAGATATTGGAGAAGCACAGTTCACGTACGAAGGCCCTCAGGGTCCGAGCCACTGGGGGGATTTAAGCCCGAAGTTCGCAGCATGCGCGCGCGGGCAGCATCAATCGCCCGTGAACATAGTGAGGAACGCGACGGTGGCGAATAAGAACCTCAAGGCCTTAACCAGAGACTATCGCCCTGCGAACGCCACCCTTGTTAACAATGGCTTCAACATCGGGGTAATTTGTTAATCGATCGAACTCATTAGCTGCTAAACTAGCTGTAAAAGAGCATTATGATTCCTCTCTTCTTCTTTTTGAGCATCTAAGTTCCTCATTTCCTTTGATAGGTGATTATCCTTTGATTTGAAGTCTGAAGTCGAACGATTTTCCTTGTCAAGAGCTATTAATTAGATAATTTCCAATTGAACGTTCAAGTGTTTTCTCTTTTTTTTTTAAAATTTTAGAATATTGTGAATTATTGACTGTCTCAAAGCTGCAAACTAGGCCCCATGTCATTCACTTTACACCGAGGTGAGAAAGAGATGATGCTAATGAGTCAAAAGACAGGCCTTGCCAGAGATTTGCATGGAAAAAGACGATGCTATAAGTGATGAACTGTCTTTTGTAATTTTCTTGGCTAAAAGTATAGTAATGCTTCCCATATGGGTTTGGAAGAAGAATAATAAGAGGTGAAAGAAGATCTAGGTCATGAAAATTGAGTAAAAAGAAGAGAAGGTGCAGGGGCTGCATATCTTTGGACCCTCGAATTAGGCGATCTTCGAGTGGCATCAAATTCATGAACTATGCACTCGATACACCTCACAATATATTGAGCGATTTCCCATTCTGAGAATCAACATAATTATAATAGGGTTTCAATAACGAGTTACTTAAATATGTGACGTCGGCCACATATGAATTCAATTAACATGTTTGTCTTGAGAACATAGAAAAAGTTATTGATATGGACTTGGGTATTATTTTGCACTTCTCTCTCCAATCTATGTATAGACATGCTACTATACGTAGAATAGGTCATGCTTAGTAAATGAGGGTTGGTTGCATGGAAGATGATGAAATGATTGATGTGAAAAGGTGGTTTACGAGGAAGAAGTGGGGATGCTGCTTGTGGATGGCAAGAACTACAGCTTCAAGCAAATGCATTGGCACTCTCCCTCCGAGCACCACATTGATGGAATCCAGTGAGCAACCCATATCCTCTCTCTCTCTCTCAGAAGATATTGTTTGGAAACAAATTTAGCAAAGACAGTCAATTTCAGCCCATGATCTGTTATAGAATGGGTAAAAGATGACAAGGGCTTGGGCATTAGAGCTTGCCCAGCTTCTTGGGCTCTGCAGAAGAGCTTTGTTCCAGTAACACCCCAAGAAATTGTTGCTTCTAGCTTCTCCTCTACTAGGGTTTGTGAGCTTTGATCAATTGAAGCCAAAGGAACAAAAAAAGAGGAGTGAAAGTTGATTTGCTTCACGATTGAGTGCAGGTTCCCAGCTGAACTTCATCTAGTCCACAAAGCGAGCGACGGCAACTTCGCCGTGGTAGCGATCCTCTATCGACTCGGCGACCCCGATCCCCTCATCTCCAAGGTATAAATGTGAATGTATATGTTTGATAAGTGCCCGCAAGCCCTTACTTCCATTCGATTCGAGTCTTGAGTCCTTCCGTGATCGAAAAGGAGTTACTGGTAGTATCTGTGGAACTTGATTTTTATTCCGTCACCGATCAAGTTCCGCGAAATGCAGATAAAAGGCCAATTGGATCAGCTGGCCAAGGAGGCTTGCGGCGCCGACGAGGAGGCTCACATCCCTCTCGGGATCTTCAACCCCAAGCAGATAAAGAGGAACACCCGCAAGTACTACCGGTACGTCGGGTCTCTCACAACTCCGCCATGCACCGAGAATGTCACCTGGAATGTTCTCGGCAAGGTACGTTTACCTACGTACGATCCACGCATGTGCTCCAATTCGAATTCACAATTCGCGCTTTATCAACCCGAACAATCTAATTAACTGATGAGATGGAGTTGATTAAAAAGGCAATGGACAATATGGGCAATGTTGATTTTAATGCGGAAGTGAAAAAAACACACCAAATGTGGATGCAGGTGAGGTCGATATCGAAAGAGCAGGTGGCATCTCTCAAGGCCCCGCTGGCCGCCGATGACAAAACCAATTTCAGGCCACTTCAGCCGCTCAACGGCCGTCAGGTCCAGCTCTATGACGAGCTCGGCAACCAGTGATCTGGTCATCTCTCGCGTCACCCGACTCATTCGACTTCTATCATTTCGAAACACAGCGAGAGAGACAGAGACAGGGACAGCGACAGAGAGACGATGGTTGATTGAGCTGTATCTGTCATGTACTGAAGTTCTTTATAGTCCCAAGTCGCTCATAATATAACCCTTTTTAGTGCATCCGACTGCTTGTTCTAAGCTGATCCAGTTCAACCTTGACGGGATTGAAAGTTTGAATAGAGCTTGCGGGATCCAACCTAACGCCTAATGACCTCAAACCTCTCTTGCTTGTAGACCACTTGCCCACTTGCTATAGAGCTGCGTTGATAGGGACAAGACAGGTGAACGAAAAATCAACTTCGTCCCTCAATTTGCGCCCTAATTTTAGTAAGGGGATTATTAGATAATAATAAAAAATTAATCGATGATAGAGCTGCTTAAGACTAATTTACAAGAGACAGTTGACCGATGAATGCGATGAATTGCCTCGTGAGCGTTTAGCAAGCGGGTCATATTCGATACCTAATTTACTTTGCAAATGCACAAACTTGCAAATACTTCCTTTTTTTTCAGGTGGAAGATATTATAAAATCTGATTATAGTCATATCGGTTCTTATTATCCAAAATATATGAAACTTCCTCAATTAATTTTTGCATTTTTTACCTTTTTAACATATTCTTGTTATGTTCCCAATCTTCGTTCTTGCAAAAGAAAATATAATTCGTAATTATTGTACTTGTGAATTAAATCTCTAATTCCATCTTTATCTTAGGGTGATGGATAAATTCACTAATCTTTCTTATTTATTGCAGAAAATGTTAAATCTGATGATTATCAAATTTTCAACATAGTACATTTACTTACTAATTCATTGCATCAAATTATACTACTAATGTCTCAAAACTAAAAGAAATTATCCTTTAAACGCATTTAAATACTTTAGAGCGTGCATCTCTTTTCGGTCTCGCATGTATAAATTCCATCGAATTTACAAATATCAGTCTTTTTGTAAAGGGAAAGGGAGTACTACTATTATGGGCTTCTCCACTCTAGTGTTTTCTAAAAGACCATTTTCATTTTTGTTAAATATATATATGAAAAATTATCAAAAAAGTCCTAAACCTATTGCACTCAAGCAAAATCAATCCTAAACCTTTTTAATTTTGCGAGTTAAGTACTAAACCTTTCGACGATTTATCAATGTAGTCCTTTCGGCTGATTTTGACCGGAAATTGATGACATGGACGTAGGCCGTCATACGTGGCACGAGCGATGTTAACGTTGAGAAATTTGCATTTTTTTAAAGAATTTTCTGAATTTTTAAATTATTTATTTTCTTTTTTCTCTACTAAGTCCGGCGAGAGTCGCCGGCCACTCACTATGACCCTCGCCGGCCACTGGGTGAGAGTTGCCAAGCCCTCGCTGGACTGGGAGAGGGCCATGAAGCCCCCGTCGATTGTGAGCAAGACTGCGACCCTTGCCTAAATCTGACAGCGATTGGACAAGGCTCGTGACCCTCGCCCACAGCTGGTGAGGGCTTCTCGGCCCTTGCCCAGTGGCCATTCTGTCCGCAATCGAAGTGGGCTTCGCGGCCCTTGCTCAGTGACTGACAAGGGTCGAGTCCTCACCCAATGTCCGATGAAGGTCTCATGGCCTTCGCTTGTGAACTTAGTAGAAAAAGGAAAGAAAGAACAAGAAAATAAAAAAAAAATACAAAAATTGTCCACATTAACATCGGCCGTCTGCCATCCTACCAGTCATGCCACATAAGACGGCCTGTTTTCATGTCATCAATTTCGAATCAAAATTAGTTGGAAAGACTATATCGGCAAATCGTTAAAAGATTTAAAATATAATTGATAAAATTGAAAGATTTATGAATTAATTAACACCAACGTAATAGATTTAGGATTTTTTTTGGAAATTTTCGAGAGAGATGCACTTATGTTGGTGTGAAAGCACAAACTACCGGTCATTGATTTGCTTAACCATTGGATTAAATGGTGGACAACTTATTACTCTTGCACTGGTGTGAACCGATCCCAAGCCAAACCTATCTATTTCATCCCCATAACCTGAAACACACCTCCTCATAAATGTTCTTTTACTAATGGCGACTAAGGGAATCTCATAAATAGTTTCGCTCAAATTGGCCTCTCAACCCATGAAGAACATATAGGCTGCACAAATGCTAAGTAATTAGGTTGTCAAGATAAAATTTCGGATAAGACGTGATAGGATAAGAATTTTCCGAAATTGCTTTGATCCAATTTTTCTTTATTTAGGAGAGTATCGGATATGACAACAGATATACTCATGTCCAATCAGATAAAGTGTTTAAAGAACCCCAGTACGTTATGAGCGCACAGGAAAACAAAACAATCCTAACAAATTACTAAAAAACTGAAAAGGACTAGAATTAGGTGATATGGTGATTCGCCATTGACGATTTGGAGGTTGCCTCTTTATGGGGACCGACGCTGAGGTGATTGCCACTGTCGCCATCGTCCCATAGAGCCAAAAACATCAAATGGAGAGAGAGAGAGAGAGAGAGACGGGTGACTTAGGTAACTGCCACACGTTGTTGTTATCCGCCAGGGACCTCATTGGGGTTGTCTACGGATTGTCATGAGAGGCCACATCGTCTCTCAACAGATTTGAGAGAGAGAGAGAGAGAGTACTCAACGGAGGTAGCCAGGAGCCGTAATCACCGTGCAGTAGCCTCCTCACGGAGGAGGTTGCAGACTGAACGATGCTTCTCGATTGTTTCCATAACGGTGTCTTTTGACATGTTTCTTCATTCAGTCCATGTGGGATAAAAAAAAAACAAAGCCCATCCCCAAGTGCAAAGATCAATCGTGTATTAAAAGATTTCTATTCGTACCAATCTAGATCTCTAGTTGGTCCAATTTGCGTCACCAAATCAATACCGCTCATGATAGTTTTTCTTCTTCTTCTTCTTCTTTTTGTATGTGGCCTTCCTTCAACAATGTTGCTATCCTAACATAAGCATCAGCATCTTCAACATTAGGGGGTCAGTAGTAATCAGGGGACGGATGAAGCCCAAGTTTTCAGCTGAGAGAATATGCCGGTCAACATTTTGACCCAGGTTCACCTGACATGACAGCATCAATGCAGCGGGGGTGGGGGGCAAGTAGTCAATATTGGCATATGAATGGACACCAGTTCCCGGAGCGACGGCGATGGACCGATCCCATGTGCACACTTGGACGCCACACCCCCCCCCCCAACAAAAAAAAAAATCACAAAATAGATAGATCCCCCATAAAATGAACGAGAAATTTGAATTGGGCATTTGCATAATCTTACATGTCAAGTCGAGGCAAAACAAGAATTGATTGATGATAACTCAACCTTCCATGTGGGGATTCGACAAGGGTTTTTCGAATCCGAACAACTTGTTTTAATTACATCTCGAGATCACCATTTTTTGAAAAGTTGTCAGATGGGAGGGGATGATGATGTAGATGATACATTTTGAACTCGGAAAAAGAAATTCTCCCGTGATCTTTGCAAGTTGGGCTCGACCAGACCTATCCATAGACGATCCGACTCGGAACAAGTGTGCATCCCCCGCCGGTCTGCCGCATCGCTTAGTATAGTATATCGAACGCACCGGAACAGTGAATTTCACAGATTTTAGTTCATGTTATTCGATCAATCATTCATTCATTTCCTTCCCACCCTCAACAAGAAAGCTAGCGAAAAAACAGAGCAAAAACCTGCTCTGCACCAAACCTCTCCTATTTACAAAAAGAAAAAACCTTGAAGAAGCCAACCTCAGCCGCCGCCGCCGCCGCCGCCGCCGCCCGCCTACCCTCTTTCATTACACAGTCAAAACCCATACTTTTGGCCCACTCAAGAAAAAAGAAGAAGAAAAAAGAAAAAGAAAAAAGAGCAAAAAAAAAAAGTGAATAGAAAAAAAGGAAACAAAATTATGCTAATCGGCGGGGAGAATTCGCACCGGGTACTGCTTTGTTATTTACCTCCGGTACCGATGCCGGGACGATCCCCCCAAAAACGTTCAACGCGCCACGTCAGCCGGACGAGGACCCCACCCACCCACCTGCCCTGGGCAAAATCCTCCCACGAGCGGGCCCCACCACGCAGCAGCCATGCCAGCCAACGGAGACCGCGACCCGATCGATCGATCGTCGATCTTTCGTCCTCGCCGGTGGGGCCCCAGATCTTCTCCACCGTCCGGCCGGCGTCGGTCTTTGACCGCGTAGGACATCTCGCTAAGCCACTTCCGTGGCCCAGGCGTCCGACCTCCTGCCGGACGCGAACCGCATCATCCCGCCCAGGCCCAGGCCCAGGCCCGGCGCGTCGCCGTCCGCGGCCGCCGCCGCGGCGCCGCTCCGCCTGGGCAGCGACTCCGGGGAGAGCGCGTCCGCGTCGTTGGCCCAGGCGTCCGACCTCCGGCCGGACGCGAACCGCCTCATCCCGCCCAGGCCCAGGCCCAGGCCCGGCGCGTCGCCGTCCGCCGCCGCCGCGGCGCTCCGCCTGGGGAGATGCTCCGGGGAGAGAGCGTCCGCCTCGCGCGCCGGCAGGCGGTCCCTGATGTCGCTGGTGACGCTCCTGGCCGAGCTCCTCCGCGGGGGCGACTCCTCCGGGATCGGCGCCGCCGCGCCGCGCTCGAAGCTCCCGGCACGCGACTTGCCGCCCCTGTGGAACATGGAGCGGAAGCTGGCGAACAGGCCGGTCCGCTTCTTGCCGGCCGGCTTGGCCTTCGCCGCGGCCGGTTCGACCGAGCGGTTGCGGTTGCGTAACCTGCGGTTGCGGTCCTTCTTCGACCGGACTCTCCCCATGCACGAGACCTTCGGCGAAGACGGCTCGATCAGCGGCGGGTTCGACTTCCCGGCCGACGAGCCGTTGCGCTTCGGGAACAGCCGCGTGTTCGCGGCCTTCCGGTTCTTCGCGTCGACGAAGCAGGACTTCTGCGGCTTCGGGAGCCCGATGATGGAGGCCTTCGACTTCCGGTTGAGGGAGAAGCGCTGCGAGTTGGAGTTGGAGCTCGGGTTGAGGTTCCCGGAGTTGGAGCTGGCTTTGGTGGACTCCTTGCGCTCGTAGAAGACGTTGCGGTCGAACCAGTCGAACTCCGCGTCCTTCGAGAGCCAGAAGGACTCCGGCGGGAAGTCGGGAGGGACCTCCAGCCGGTCGGAGCGGTGGCCCTGGTCCTCCTCGTCCGCCGCCGCCGCCGCAGCAGCCGCAGCCGCAGCCTCCGGATTGCCGGGGCCGGCGATGGTCTCGCAGGTGATCTTGCGGTCGCAGGAGCCGCCGGCGCAAGCGGAGACGAGGGTTTCGAGGTCCACCTGCGGCATCCTATGCTGCGAATCCGTGCTGCGAAGTGCGAATACCCAAGAGCGTATGCAGAGAGGGGTGGCGGGGGCGGTGGTGGTGGTGGTGGTGGTGGTGGTTGCGCCTGCGTACCTGCTTTGGTGAAATGAAGAAGAAGATGGAGTTTGGTTTCTTGCGTCGCTTCGCTTTTATCATCACGTTGAAAGTCCGCGTGAAACGATGGGATCCCGAAGATTTCGACAAAAAACTCTCTGTTTTTTTTTCCTTTTCTTGTTTTTATTTTTGTTTTTTCCTTTTATTGTTTTCGTCGGAAGAACGCGATATACAAAATTAATTTGCGGGAGAAGTTAGGTCACGACATTTCCCCTTTTTGCTACGCCACTTTCTCTCTCTCTCTCTCTCTTTGAAATTCGGGATAAGGAAAATATCCTAAAAATTGTCGCTGTGATATAAATACTCTAAATTTTTTCTTTCTTTTGTGTATTACCAAAACCCCCTAAATTTGTATCGGTGTGATAAAAATACTCTCCCTTTGTCCATCGCCATAACCCTGAAATTTGCGAGTGTGTCATCGATACTGACCTTCAGTCGTTGTTCCGTCCATGAAGGCCATGCAAAAAATCCGACATGGTAGTTCACGTGGATATTCGGCAGGACATGTCAGACGAAAATGCAGTAAAGAGTGTTTTGGTCAAGCCGGTACGAGTTTGAAAATTTTTGTGACACAAAAAAGAAATCGGGATATTAGTGTCATAATGCACATAGTTACGAGGTTTCGAAGACAAAAAAGAGTCTTGGGTGTTGGCATTTTGTGGGACTAGCCCAACTTTTAACAAATATATTCAACATCAAAGGGGCAAGTTTGAATTCCACGTCAGCACCTATGATATAGAGATTTTTTTTTTTGAGACAAGATAATTTGTTCCGTCAGTTCAATCGATGCGTGGGAAGTGTTATCATTAAGGTTGTGTTATCATCGAGGTTCTTAAATCCTCTTCATTTAAGAAGATTATGATCGCACAAGTAATCAAGAAAATTATAAATTTACTGTTAAAAATTGATTTATCTATTAATAACGCAGACTTAAGCTCCGTTGTTTCATGAAAAATGAATAATTTTGAAAATATTTTTCTAAAAATAATAGCTTGTATTGCTTTGAAATATTTAGTTGATGAAAAAATATTTTCATCATCGACAATAATTTATGTTTAAATATTTTTGTAAACGATGAAAATATATTTCGTACAATTAATTAATCAACATCCTATAAATGGGGTAATTTTATTTTTCTTTTTCCTTCTTCTTCGGTGACCGGCCATAGAGCTCGAGCCTCGCCACAGGCCGGCCACAAACGAGGCTCGAGTTCCTCGCCAATCTCGTATCTAACGAGGTTGAGCTCACCTGAGGCCCTTGAGCCTTGCCATAGGTCAGCAAGGCTCAAGGAGGCCTGAGGCCTCGCTAGATCGAGTTCCTCGCCAATCTCGTATCTAACGAGGTTGAGCTCACCTGAGGCCCTCGAGCCTTGCCATAGGTCAGCAAGGCTCAAGGAGGCCTGAGGCCTCGCTAGATCGGTGAGCTCGTGTTGCCGGTTGCCAGCCACTGGCGACCGGCCAAAGAAGAAGGGAAAAGAAAAGAAAAGAAAAGAAAAAATAACTAAAGATTCTATTTTTTAAAAAGAAAAGAAAAGAATTTAAATAAATAAAAAGAAAAAAAATATTAAAATGAATGCACGAAGGAGAACGTGCTTGATTTGGGTGAAAGAAAGAGGAGAGAAAATGTTTTCCTTGACTAGTCTATTTTTTATGAACCAAATGCCGGAAAATCCGAAAAACTTTTTCTTAATAGTTGTTCCGCAAGACAAAAGAAGTCTAAATGATGAGCTAATTTCTTTTACCCATCATCCAACCACATGTGGACTGATTTGAAGAAATATATGTAAAATGGAATTTTTTCCCACCTATATCCATAATTAATTTATATCTAAGTATAATTTGTTCAAATATATATATATATATATATATATATATATATATATTTTGAACAAATTCCTTTTCTTTCCGTACTAGTATCCAACTAACATTCTAATTCCACCATTTCGTCTCCTTACTCTTCTCTAATCTAATTATTATTTAGATTCCTCCCCTTCCTTTTCTACGCACGTCATTGAAAAAAGCAAAAAAGAAAACACTCGTCGCTTCAGATGATAATGACTTTAGGAACGAGTCCAAGTGTTCTGTTCCTATTCCAATCGAGAAATCTCGACTAGTTTTTGCAAGGGAAAATGACACAAATAGTCCCTAAACTTTGACCTAATGTGCAATTTGGTCCCTGAACTTTTAATTTGTTCAATGTAGTCCCTGAACTTTAACATAATGTTCAATTTGGTCCCTGAACTTTTGATTTGTTCAATGTGGTCCCTGAACTTTTAATATGTGTTCAATTTAGTCCTTGAACTATTTGAAAATGTTCAATATAGTCCTTCTGTTAATTCAAGTACAGGGACTATATTGAACATTTTCATATAGTTCAGGGACTAAATTGAACACATATTAAAAGTTCAAGGACCACATTGAACAAATTAAAAGTTCAGGGACCAAATTGAACATTATGTTAAAGTTCAGGGACTACATTGAACAAATTAAAAATTTAGGGACCAAATTGCACATTAAGTCAAAGTTTATGGACTATTTGTGTCATTATCCCTCTTTGCAAACACATTCCCCTGTCAATTTGTCACTCAAGTACCACGCAGAAACTCCATCGCTTTTACGTGAAAAACCAAATGCTTCCAGAAGGCGGATCGTGTTGGGGGGAAAGCACTAGGAACGCGAGAGATGGGAGCAAAGCATATTATGCCAAATGACATGAGAAAGGGGACAAAGGAAAGCACCACGACAAAGCTCAACACGTTCTCTCTCGCTTTTGCAAGCATAAGCCATCCAAAGATGCATGGCGATTGACTGGCGTGAGGATGACACTTTTGTCGAGCAAGGCAGGGGAGCCAAAGGAGACCCGGTACTAGAATAAGTGGGTGGGGGGAGAGTCGATCATATCATGCGACAGCGACTCGTGACAGAGCAAATCGGGCCATTAGAAGCGAGGAATTCCTAAAATTGGGATGCGCTCGAGACAAAGCGATCGATCTACGTTATGCCACCGTGCGGGTGGATGAAACCTCTCGGTTCACGTCGCGCCGCCCTGGCCCTCGATTGTTACCATAAATAGCTCGCCGCTATGCATGTTGCCACCCCCCTGAGGTTTGAGAAATTAGTTGTCTTTCAAATATATAAAAACATCTCCTTCCGAGGTCGAAGCTATTATATATAATTTTTTTATCAATAGTTTTCATCAATAAAAAAAGTTCTTTTTTTTTAAAAAAATTTGGAATATTTTAGCTACAACACTGGGTTGTTGAATTCCAGATAGACTAGAGTCCTTTTGAAACAACAGAAGCACACGTTTCACGTAACTTGTCTGTGGAGTTCAATAACTAGTAGATAGTCAAATTGGCAATAAATGAACACTTTCGGATTAAGTTTCTCTTTCAAGCGGAAGTAATCATCAATTAGAGAATTAGTGATCCGATTGATTTTTTCGGGTCAAAATTTCATTTTAATACCGTGCTTAAGATTTTCGCACAAAACTCAAAAGTTTATCAGATGATAGTGAATACACGCGTCTATACTATTATATAAAATAAAGAGATGCCAGTTATTTTTCTTTTCTCCAAATATCCTGAATTACTCATTTTACAAATGATTTATGCTCATGGACAAATGCATAAGTCGATAATAATACTATATTATCCCTCGCATGTTTCGATATTAAAACCCAAATATACCCGTTTGAGAATAGCCTTCTCGATAAAACTTTCAAATCTCGAAACATTTTTCTCTTCCGCATCTATCTATACTATTTCTCCGAAGTAGATATTTTTATCGACAATCTCTTTCCATTGTGTAATGGTATGGACACTTCATAGTAAAGCAATTTTGTTTAATTTTTCAAATGTCAATTTCGTACATACATGCGGAACATGCGCGCATTTGCTAGCATATATAAAGTCAATAAAACAATTTTAGACAAGCGACTTGGGATGTACTTTAACAGCCCACAAATCATACCATACTTAGTCGATAAAGCCAAAACACATCAAAAATTAATATTTTCTAAAGATTATAATTTTCCTATATAAGTTAAGCGAAATTGAAGAATCTTGGGTCAATGGACTTTTTTTGGTAGTTCCATCCACGACACTTTACTAGCTTTCTTCATCTTCCTCCACGAATGCCCAAATTTTCAAAATCGAGCCACTTTGAAAAGGGGCCTCAGCAATGACGTTTCTTTCGAATTATTTCAGCACTTCATCATTAAAATAAATGACCATATAATATATCAATATGACTAAACTTTCAATGGTCACACCCGTCACCCTATTTCCTAGTGCCCCATCAATTTTTAATTGATTCGCATTTTGTTTTTGGTCGGAATTTTTTTTAATTGGTTACAAGTTTTATGTTTCCCATTTTTTTTATTACCCTTCTTTTCTTTTCTTTTTGGTGTTGTAGAGACCAAAGTTGGAGGCGCCGTCTTGGTCCCACTCTATTTTTTTATGATTTAAAATTTGGATTTACATGCTCTGGCGTAAATCTTGGTGGCTGAAAGAATGAAAAAGTAAAAAACATAAAAAGAATATTAAAAAAAAATTGGGACGTGTGCTATTTTGTTTGTGTGGAAGTTTTTTAATTTTTTGGGTGATGGCACAACGTACGTGACAGATCTAATGATTGTGGATCGTTCAACTAGAATATATGATTGAGCATGCATGATCGTGTTGAAGTCGGGCGTATAAATTAAGGTAGAAAAAGAGCAAAATGAGCCGAAATCGAAATTTAGGACACACTTTTATGTGAACTTTCCAAATCATATGATTTTGATTGAATGGATAACAATCACTAGAATCGCCCAATATAACTTTATAATAAAAAAATTTACGGATCGTTACAAAAAATTATCATCGACTTTGCTCAATATATTAAATACCCTCATCAAATTTCAAAACTTACATTTTGCGTCTCCCTAACCTAAAAAGCCCGTTTGTCCTCATGCA